AGGCACTGTGCATTATTACGTTTAAGGATCTTTCGTTGCATCATTTCAATGGGAACATGCAAAGTATATTCTTTTTAGTGTGTGTCTTTCCAAAGCCCGACCAGTTCATCCGAAAATTGCTAGGCACAGCAGGGGAATGCTGGCGTTTTCGCCCAGCATTAAATGAGTTAAGGGTTACTGTGTAACAAGGGTAGCTAAGTACACGTGTAGGTAGTTGAAGTGTGTCGCTGGCAGGTTCTACTTCTTTACTTTCCCTCTGTTGTTTCTGTCTGTCTGTCTGTCTGTCTGCCTGTCTGTCTGCCTGTCTGTCTGTCTGTCTTGTTTTTTCCTCGCACCAAATGACCATTATTATGTTAATGTGCTTCTCTTTCCTCAAACAAGCAAACAAACAAAGTGCGCTTTTCTCATATTGTTCAGAAAGTAGTGGCGTAAGGGAGAATCAACTTGCCCGTGGCAATAACGATTGCTTAAGGATAATCAAGCTTATGTAAAAAGACGACTTCATGATCCTCTATTACTATCATTCTGTGTGTGGTCTCGTAAGGGTTAATGTGTTAGGAGAAAACCAGTGGATAACTCTTTAACATCTAAATATGGGTGGTGACTAAAGGGTTAATGTGTTAAAGGCGACCAGTTCAAACTCTCTAAAATTGCTGAAGGGTTAATATGCTTTAAGGGGACGACTGTTCCATTTTTTCTAGCCCATCGTGTGAGTTGTGACATAAGGGGAAAGGTATCCAGCAATGAGACAGATGTTCAATTCTTCGGTCCCATTATATGTTGTGGGTGTTTTGCTACTTTTACTCCCCCATCAACACAATTTAAATCAAAACCATAAACGCCGGTCAATCGTATGTATGCAGCTGGTTTCTGAGTTAATCTGTTACACGGAGACCTGTGGACACCTCTCTATCACCATGAAGGCAGGCAACTCATAAGTAGTTAAAGTGTTGTAAGTAGAGTCGAGATGATGTAAATGGTTGCGTAAGGGTTAAATTTCCCTGTTACAAAGCGGTTCGTTTAGAGATGTTATGTTTTAAGGAGGCCAGTAGATACATCTGTAACACCATCATGTGAGTGGCGGTGAAAGAGTTATCTTGTCAAGTGACAATAACGTTTGCTTAAGGGTTAAAATCTTTTGATTAAATCAGTGTACAATTCTGTAACACCATCACTTTGTGAGTGTTGCTGTAAGGGTTACCAGAGCGTGTTCAATTTCTCCTGTCCGTGTGCAAAAATAATAGTTCATTTATTAATAATCTTCTTATGCCCTCGAAACTTTGCATGCCACTTGTGCAAGCCAACAACTGAAGGTATCTTTAAAAAAAAAACCCTCTTGATCAAGTAATTTTAAGATCATATCTATTTGGACTCTCTATTAAAAACTTCTCTTTGTGTGCATACACAGGGTCACGAAAATAAATAATTTACAGAAACCAATTATTTTGAGATAGCGACACCCTGAATGCTTATAGATTTCTTCTCCCGACTAAATAGATATCTCCACTTGAGTCACAAAAAGTACTCAACCGTCTTTTGGACCGTGTTTTAGAGGCCTGCGTTCAAGTTTGGTGTTGATCAAAATTGGTAAACTTTTATGTTATAGGTGAATACTTTAAGCCCCTATTATTATTTTTTTGGGTTACCAATTTATGACTAACACCAAAGAATGCGTGCCGGAACTTAACAAAGACCTCCACAAATTATTTAATGGGTTTTCAGAATCTGTTCATCATCCAACTTTAAGATCCGCATGCAAAGACCTGATAAGATTAACAGAGCGATTTGTTTTTATCTTGGTTTAACCGCGGTCTGGAGAAAGTGAATAAGCTATAATATACTTAAGTGGGTGGTTGACGGGTGCTCTGGTGTGATGTGCTCCTTCTTTCCTATCAAACATCTGTCGTCCTTATCTCTCTTTACTTTTTTGTGTTAGTTACTCTTTCATAACACCTCTAATCTTCTGCACTTATTTAAATAACGTTATACTTTACTTTATCTGCGGCGAATACCGTGATGTGTCGCGGGAAGGTTGCTACGAAGGGTCTTGGAAAACTGGAAAGCCTTCTGGAGTCGGACATTGCGTAGGGTCTTTTACTTTCTAAATCCATCTTTTCCCGCGTCTTCCTCTCGTTCGGTAGCTAGGTATTCTCATGCAGTAGTTTTCAGAGCAAGTTGGTTGATTTGTACACGAGGTGGGAGTCTAGGCCATTTGATTCTTTGCTTTTTAAGGGTAGCTTGGAGGGTATGGTACCCATTATTTCTGCGCTTGCTTGGAGGAGGGCGCTACTGGTAGGTTCTACTTCTGTACTGTCTGTCTGTCTGTCTGTCTGTCTGTCTGTCTGTCTGTCTGTCTGTCTGTCTGTCTGTCTGTCTGTCTGTCTGTCTGTCTGTCAATCCAGCACTAAATAACCATTATTGTGTCGATGTGATTCTGTTTACCCAAACAAGGAAACCACTTTTGTTTCCATCTGTCTATGCAGGTGGTTGGTTGGAGAGGTCCACTGATAGGTCCCACTTCTTTCCTTTTTAAAAAAAAAATCATATTTTTTTCTCCATTATTATGTCGATGTGCTTCGCTTTACTCAAATAAACAAAACAAACCGCGATTTCTCTGATAACTGATTCATGAACCCGGTCTCTTCTTGCCTTGTTTATGCCGCATCGACACGACAGTTAATTTAGGAGACGGGCTTCGACCCAACCTCTCAGGGCCCACCCTGGCAGAGAGGGATACTCTAGCAGAAAGGCGGAGATGCTCGGTTAAAAAAATATCTCCAAGCGGCCATTGAGAACGGGGCTCTTGCGTGCGCCGCCAAAGCGCCTGACCGATACACCACAAACGGGATTTAACTTGTGTCGATTTGTCGTTAAAACAACCACATAAAAAAACCCCAAACAGAATAAAAATAACAAAAATAAATAAAAATAACAACAACAACAACAACCGACAACCAAACCACACCACCCCCCACCCCCACCCCCTCAACAAAACAACAACAACCCCCACCCCCACACAAAACAACACCATAAACAACACCAAACCCTACTCGGACGCCGGTGGTGACACAGCGTGAAAGTCTCTTCCATTGTTTTGTTTTAATAAGAGTTTTTTTTTACGGCACTTGCAACATTATTAAGTCGTACAAGTGTCGAAGATTAGGGGAGTGACAAGAGAGTAACAAACACAAGTGACACAAAAAAGGAGGAGAGATAAGGTCAATATGCTTGATAGGAAAGAGGAAGCAAACCCCATCAGAGCACCCACAAACCACCCACTCACAGTCCCTGCCATGATTCTGTCCCTGGTAGTGTAAGGGTTAACTTGTCCTTGTAGCGACACAGTGTCACTGTCTCTGCCATGATTCTGTACCTGGTAGTATAAGGGTTAACGTGCACTTAGAGCCACACACCGTGTGCAAGTTTCTTCCATGCAAATGGTTATCGGGTGCTTTGTTATGTTTATGCTTCTTCTTATTATCAAACATCTATCGTCCTTATCTCTCCTCTTTCGTTTCTTAGAACTTTTCTCTTTTTTGTTTATTTAAAGGATTAACGCCTCCAATCTTCGGTACTTAGTGACCCATTTGATTTGTTTTGCAAGTACCGTAACACTTTCTCAAACTTAAACATTTACATTCTCATTCATCCTGTTCCTGGTAGTTGGAGGGTTAATAATTTGTCTTGGTAGCGATACTTAGTGCGTGTGTGTGTGTGTGTGTGTGTGTGTGTGTGTGTGTGTGTGTGTGTGTGTGTGTGTGTGTGTGTGTCAGCGTGCCCGCGGTGAGAGAGAGAGAGAGAGAGAGAGAGAGAGAGAGAGAGAGAGAGAGAGAGAGAGAGAGAGAGAGAGAGGGGTAGAGAGAGAGAGGGGGTAGAGAGAGAGAGAGAGAGAGAGAGAGAGAGAGAGAGGGGGTAGAGAGAGAGAGAGAGAGAGAGAGCTCAAGCGTGAAGGAAGATTTTTTTTTGCGAATGCCTATTTTGTTTTCTGCTATGTGTTCGCGTGTTGTTGACGTGTTTGAGCGGTGGTTTGATAGGGCTTTAAACACTATGCTCACATCATTTCCATATCGTTTTTTGGAGTTCATTATTTAACGAGACATAGGTAAGAGTGTAACATCAGAGAGATTGCAACAGCGAGAAAAATAACTGCAGAGCAGGGATATTATTAATTTTGTTATTATTGTTATCATTGTTATTATAATTTTTAGTTTTATCCTCATTATTACCATTATTATTACTTTAAAAAATTGAATTTAAAAAAATCTGTACCAAAAATTCTTCTGGACGTTATTTCGCCTCCCTTTCGCTGGGTATGTTTCGTGTAAGATGCGTTTAGTGGTGTACCTATATTTTTATATTTCCTAGTTGACAAGGCTGTGTGTGCTTTGGTTCATTTCCATGGTACACTTGGGTTTCGCACATCTTCAATGGAGGACATATAATTTCATATCTTGTTTGGAAAATTAGTACCAAGTTGTTTTGCTTCTTTTAAACGATGGGCTAATCTGCCGTCATTTTAATAAGTACAGTATACGCAGTTTTTACAACTTTGCAGTAGAGCAAAAAAAAAAAAAAAAAAAAAAAAAAAAAAACAACGAAAAAGCAAAAAACATAAGTGAGTTCTGTTACCGAGAAAATAGACTTCTTCGCAAACATGCCCAGTCAATACAATTTTTATAATAACTTGCGTATTATTTTCAAAGCAAATGTTGTTTTCATGGTAACAACGTTTAGATTTTTGGCTCTACTGTCAAGTTGTAAAACCTGTATTTACTGTACTTTAAAAAATGACAGCAGCAATACTGCAAATGACAACAGTGCTGCACATGACCTGTAATTTTATATCCCTGCTTTAGATTACCAAGCCGTTTTTGGATTTGTTTTCGCAGTACAGTTGTGCTGCATACCAGGTGGAGACATTTGCATTCAAATTCCCTGTTTGGATATGCAGCATTTTGTTTTGGTTCCTTTTGCACGAGTGTGTTAATTAACACGACTAGTTGTGTACCTATGACTGTATACTTCCCCTTTGGAATAGCAGGATACGATTCTTACCTAGGTACACTTATAGTGAATGTTCTTCACTGGTGGAATGTTCACTGTGATATTTCAAAATTGGACTGGCAGAGTTGTGTTGAAAAAGGATATACGTTCACACACCTCCGCTTCGGATCACCCAGTTGGTAAGGGTTTTGAAATTTGATTTTAACTGTAAGGTGGGTTTACTATTTGAAGGCGCTCCATTAACTTAGTTGGTACAATGCTGGACTAAAACGCGGATGGTCCTGGTTTAATCACAGACTGGGGGTATCAAGCTCGGGTCGTTCTGTGAAGTTTTAAAGGCTCTCAACCCATTTGGTTCGGTCCTATCTGAGTTGGACATTAAATTCGAAGGTCACGCCTCTTAAATAACCCAAAGTGTTGCTAGAGACATAAAACCCTTACACTGACCCAGTTACAATTTGAAAATGCACCACAACATTTGTCCTACGAAACGCTTTAACATAGCTTTGGTACAACTTGTTTAGGAAGTATTCAACTTACTTGTGAGGATGATATCAAATTATGAACGGCGCAGAATTTGGGGTCAAAGGTTTCATTGAAGTCTCTTTGAGGAACTTACTTCACCTACTTCACACATCCGGGTTCTGTTTGTTTGTCTGTCTGTTCTTCTTTCTATCTTTCTCACCCCATCCCTATCTATCTATCTATCTATCTATCTATCTATCTATCTATCTAT